CAAACACACACACACTCATGTCCCCTCATACCGTTACTCACAGCCATTCACAAACACACACACACTCATGTCCCCTCATACCGTTACTCACAGCCATTCACAAACACACACACTCATGTCCCCTCATACCGTTACTCACAGCCATTCATACACACACACACTCATGTCCCCTCATACCGTTACTCACAGCCATTCATACACACACGCACACACACACACGCACTCTCCTACACCTGCACATGCAAGGATCCCACCCATACTGGTGAATCTGCACCAGAACACCCCACTGACACACTAGAGTGTCCCAAATTACCATGATTAGCGGCAGCTGGCTGCTCGTGGCAACGTACCAAAGCCTCCTCCCCAGAAGCCTCTTGTGCTGCAGCCACTGCTAACAGGAAGAAGACCTACCAGTGTGGTACCTCGCTGTCCGAAGCTGCCGGCCTGCATCTGCTACTCCGACACTCTGGAACAGGCTCAGCGAGGACCCCTGGGCTGCCTCTCAAATTATTACTCTTTAAACAATACTAATTCCCAAGCCTTTGGTAAAATCCATTTATGGTAGCATACACTGAGTCTTACAAAACAATGACCATTACTTACTGCTGACAGGTGATAGGTTGGGCTGTTGGTGCCCCCTGCCTGTCAACAGAAAAGTGGCAGTCCCATCAGTGACACAGACATGCACCACACACACACACACACACAGGTTAGGTATCGGTATCTTTGTGGGGACTCTCTAGTCATCCCTATGGGCTAAAAACTATTCCCGTCAAATTGTGGGAACACTGAATCCCCACAATGTAATGCAGGTATCCACCCACTTTATGAAAGTAGAGCATTCCTATGAAACCTTTTCTAAGCCGAAATGGCATAAAGCGAAGAAACAATTCCCATTCATTTATATGGGAATATTTTTAGGGTCCCCAGACCGAAAAAAAAACCTACCGTATCATACAAAATAACACATAAAACCTAAAATAACACTAAAGTATAGTAAGAGCAGGAATTATATTTTAAATGGACAGCCTGTTTAAAGTACAAATGTATATAAACTGTTGTTTCACTTACCAGAATCAATACAGTCATGCGTCGCTTAACAACAGGTGTATGTTCCGAGAAACGCGTCGTTAGGCCATTTCGCCTACTTACACAAACCTAGATGCTATAGCATACTATGGTATAGCCTATAAGCAACGATAAATAATACAGTGTCGCTATGATAAATACATAGCCGAGTAACATAGTTGTTTAGAATCATTATCAAGTATTATATACTGCGTACAATCGTATGCGGAACACTTTACACCAGCATCACCACAAAGACGTGAGACATCGCCTTATGACATCATGACGTTTAAGACGTCACTATACGAAAGGAATTTTTCAGCTCCGTTATAATCTTATGGGACTAGTGTCGTATACGCGGTCTGTTGTCTTCCCAAATGTCGTTATGTGGCGCGTGACTATGGCTGTGTTAGAAATGTCCACTTATTTACGCACTATATAGTGTTCACTACATAAAACACTCACTAGGGGATAAGTGCAGACAGCGGTTGATACATTTCGGACTTTGGGTGGGTGACACTGCTACATTACATTCGTAATTGTTATCTCTGTCGCATAAACAAATACCAGAATATTCCATCTAGCGTTAAACGATGATAAAAATGTACTTTTTTTTTCTTTATTGTATCTCTTCTGTAATGTTCGTACTAGTTGTTAGCAATAGCCATTTGTTTTCAAAGCAGTAGCAGCCCTGCCAGTGTTTTAGCTCACTGTATAAGCCAGCTACTTAACAACGGTTAACAGTTACAGTTCAGACTGTTCCAACACTAACATGACAGGCTGCAATGCATGATGGTTTAAGTTGACTGATGTATGGTACAACTAATGCACAGTACAGGTGTTTCTCAATATGAAGAATGCAAGGATTGTACTTCTGCTCCTTACAAAACTGTTCTTGCTAACTTGCCTCCCAAGAACGAACTCGGGGTGCAATCAATCATAGGATTGATTTCCCTCTGTACTTCTGTTCTTGGTATTGGAACTGGTCTTCAGCAATGGAATATGACACAAGAACACAAGTATGGTCAAGTAAGCTTATTGAAAAAACACCCTGCATTTTGCTGTGCCTTGCTCTGATTCACAGTTGAGAATTCAAACAGCACTACAAAAACGGCCAACTCCCTATATAGTGTAATATATAGTGGGGAAGTGGACATTTTCGAACACAGCCTATATATCTACAAATTGGTTTCATAAAAGTGAAACTCCTCTTCGGATTTCTTTCAGTTAGTGAAAGCAGATCCTAATGTAGGTCTTTCCTAAAAGCGAAATGGCGCAATATAAACATTCGTAAAGCGGTGGATACCTGTATATACAAATCCTCAGTGTGCAAACACCTGCACACACAGACACACACATACATATACAATCCATGGTGGTGCACATTGTGGGAAACAGGTCTACTCTCCTTCCCCTTCCTTCCACACCAGCACAGAAGCAATCAGAGCCCTGCTATCAAAATAAGGTTTATCCTAAGTTCCATGTGTTGTCCAATTCCAATCCACATCTTAAAATCCCACAGTGGATCCAGGGAGTTCAGCTTTATAATTGAAGCTGACGGGGCTCTCATAATGTAGTTGCCCCCTCCTTTCCCGGCCATCGGACACATCGGCGATGTGTGTCACGGGGAATCTCGCTACTGATGGGGGGCAGGAGGGCGGATCAGGGAGCCCCGTCCTCCCCAGCGGGGGTGGCCCGTCACGGCTCTTACAGGCCTGCCAGTCAGCTGCCGCTCCCCTCTGCCAGCCTCCCCACCGCTCGTTAAAGCTCTATTTTTGCCCTAACTGCTCACATTCCCCCTTTCTCTCTCTGGAAGTGAGCGCTCACAGATGACCCCTTGCTAATGTCTAGAGTTCCGCCATTTCTACGCGTCGGCTGAACATCTCACATGGGTAACCGTAGGTGCGACATATTACATTAACATTTAAATTTATTTAGCAGATGATTGTAACCAAAGCGACATACAAGTTATTTTTTAAAAAGCACTGTCTTACAAACCTTGAGCAATTGGGGGTGGAGGGCCTTACTCAAGGGCCTAAAGGTAACATCATTCTGTCAATCCTAGGATTTGAACCAACAACCTTCTGATCACATTAATTCATTTATTGAATCAAAGTGCAGGGGGTGCATGACCCAGACTCTCCTTCGTGTCCCACCTCCGCAGACTTCTGACTTGTACACCGGTGTTCCCGTGGGTGTGGTTTGGGCATTTGGCGGGACGATGGGCAGCAATACAATGCCAGTGCGGCTAAGCAGGCAACTCCTGGCTTTAATTCTGGGGGTAAAATAAACAGTAGGGGGTCCAGACTGAGGGCACCACTGGTATGGCTTAGGAGCTCTTAGTCTGACACGTTAAAAGGAGTCGTTCTGGATCATTGCAGTGGCAGTGAAATCAGCAACACCCAACGAAAGGCACCCTCATCCAGGGGCGTATACAGGGGTGGGGCCATAGGGCCACTGGCCTCACTGAAAGCAAGTTTGCCCCTTCCCCTGTCCATCCATCCACCCACCTATCCATCCATCCATCCATCCATCTTATATACCTCTTTGTCCTGTGCAGAGTCATGAGGGTCTTTGGCCTTCCCAGAAGCTATGAGCACAGGGGAATAAAATAAGATGGAGCACCAATTAAAAACATTTCATTGGCTAATGACAAAGACGGCCCATCGGTATGAATTATGGACCCTCTTATGACCTCCACCCTCTCCACTGTATAAATTCCTAGAATTGCCCCTGCCCGATTCTGGAACGGCAGCATGCCTCCCCAGTGACCCCCCCCCCCCACCCCCATGCAGGTGTGCCATTGGCATCATCAATAAAAGCAGGTCTCATTACGTAACCTGCACGCGGCCCGAGCTGCAGCTCAGACTTCGTCAGTCTTTTATGTAGCGCCGTCGGTCTGAAAGTTTGGTGCAGACGCAGGGTAAACGGCGCTTCCAGGAAACGGGCGGCTGCGCGTGTCGGCGGGGCTGAAAAGCAGCGTGCAGGTGCTGCCTGCGATGACGCCTTAAAGCCCCCCCACCCCCCGCCGCATGCTAGTCGCACGGCAGCCATTCATGGAAGGCAATTAAAATCAACCCATCATTAAGCGCTTGGAGAGGAGCTCTGTGGGGATGGGGGGGGGTGGGCAGAGGATGCTCTCGGCTGAATGAAAGCCAATCACAGAGCATTGTGAGAGTCTGCGCTGCTCTGATGCGATCATACACGGTTCGGCGCACACACAAGGGAAAATTTTTTGCCGTGCCTCCCGCCCCTCATAAACAGCCCTGTCTCTGGGATCTTTGACATCCCTGGAAACATACAAGTCCCATCCTCCAAGATAGTGACTGCGCTTGCATCTGTCAGCCTGTGACAAAATCTGAGGCTGCATATTTATTGGGACTGAAAGGTCATGACCCCAGAGGGGGTGGGGAAATTGGAAGGGTAAACGCCCCCATCCCTGCCGACGGTGCTCATGGGGATGCATATCAATTATACCTGTTGTTGTTTTTATTCGATAAAACTTGCTAAACAAAGTGAGGCGGAGTTCCTCTCTGAAAGGCCCACAGAATAAATTCTGGGACTTGTCACCTTGGTGCACCTGTAATTACGTCTTCCCATGTAATTAAGGCGGGGTGGATCCGGGAACACGGCCTATCATCGGAGCGACTGACAGGAGAACGAGCGGCAGGGGTCTCCCTCGGCCGTCGCTGGCCGCGCGGGGGCGTTCCCGTTACTTAAATACACGGCATCAAAAGAAATGCTCATCACCTCCATCATCATCATGGAACAAAAGGCCACTGCTGGAAAAAAGAGGAGAGGCCCGTCATTCCAAGAGGTAATTAGCTCAGAAGTGGGAGATGTCTCCGGATCCGGCACAAGGTGCGCCCTGGTGAGTCACTCCGCCTAGCTATGCCGCAGCGGCACACAGAAGGTGCGTTCTGCTGATTGACGCGATTCATTCTGCCTGACGAGTTGAAAAAAAAAGAAACACATCTCCCACAAGCCGGAGGTGTGAAGTGGAGGGGGGTGAACCCGACCGCTGCAAAGCCGCTCACGTCGGACCTGAATTCTACCCTTGGGAGCCGGAGAAGCCCCCATGGAACTGAGAACAGGACTTGCGGGGAAAACAAAAACAAAAAGAAAACCTTAAAGGCAAATCGGTTTTCAGGGCGATGGAGGGATTTTGGCGGCGTGGCGGCTGGTTTCCGTGTCCTGAACCGCCCACGTGGAGCTCTTCATTTAGAGAGAGAGAGAAAAAAACAACGTGGCTGCATTTTTACATAAAAAGCAGACACATAAATACAGTGTGAATCCTGTAAGCGGGCATGATTCTGACGGCGATTTCACTGGTGCTGCTGCTTTGCGTTTGAGAAGGTGGCAGCGTGTTGAACTGCCTTTGCGTAGAGGACCTTCTGAGGGCCTTCTGAGGGCCTTCTGAGGTACAGCGGTAACGGGGGCCAAAAAAGAAGGGCGTGCCCCGGGGGAAGATCCCTGATTCCCGGGGGAAGATCCCTGATACAGTGTGATTCCTGATCCCAAGGTTGTCGTTCTGTTGTTTTTTTTTTTTGGCTCAGGATGCTGGGCCCATGATCAGAAGGTTGCTGGTTCAAATCCCATTGCCGGCAAAGTGAGATCCCCGTTGGGCCCGTGAGCACGGCCATTAACCCCCCAGTTGCTCCAGGGACTGTTAGACCCTGCTTTCATAAAAACATACGCTGCTTTCAATAAAAAGACCTGCCAAGTAAATAATAAATGCTAAAATGCCTCCGATGGAAAGCCTGCGGTTTTGAAAGATTTTGTCACCCTGTGGGGAAGACGTCGAACATCTGGACACCCACAGCTGTCACTCGGCAGACACTGGTGGGGATGACTCGTCGCAGACAGAATCCTATCCCTGCACTGTCTGCCCTCTATGCGAGATCTCAAGAGCTGCTACTTCTGTTTTCCTGCATCAGACCGGAGGATGTACCCATCAAAACTCTGCTACCAGACCAGCTGACTTTTGCTACAAGAATGTGTTCTACCAGTCTGGTGTTGTTGGCATCCTGTTCTTCACTGGGTGTGTAACACCAAAGGGAGGTGGACCTGACTCGATCAAGGAGGCCACATCTGTCATAGGGATGAGGCTGGACGCGCTGGAGGCAGCCGTGCAGAGGAGCGTGCAACCAAACGCGAGGCCTGTCCCCTCAATGGACAGCTCATGGAGATGAGAAGCAAGTTCAGGGCGAGAATCCCCCGGGTGCAAAGCAAGAGCTTCAGAAGCGCGTGGGAGCCCCTGCCTTTCGGCTGTCCGATGCCCCCTATCTCTGAGCTGCAAGCCTCATCAGTGCCAATCCCCGGATTTTTGACATCTCTCCCATCACACGGCTGTTACATTACTAGTGTATATTGCACAGTCACACACATTTTGCACCTTTTGTGCCATTTTTAAACTCATGTTGTGTTTTACACTGTTTGCACATTTACCGATTCTGTCTCACTCAGTCTGTCTCATTGCCTTTATCTTTGTCAATCAATCATCAATCAATCAATCATTGTGTGTTATCAGCCATTCTCTGGCATTGCCACCTTGTCAACCACTGCAGTCCACTTCTCTTTTCCTGTAGCTGATATCGGGTCGGCTGAATACCAACAGCCCCCTCTACTGCTTCTTTGCTGCGGATGGTTCTGGAATGTGGGCCCCAGTCCTTCTCTCTGTACACGCCACCCGACCCCCCTACCACCCGCACCCCCACCCCCACCCCCCCAGCCCACTCATTTTAAGTACCAGTGAAATGATTTCATCGCTTATGAATAGCTGAGCACCAGAGGAGGCTGCAAAAGACAATTTCATCTTCAGCTGTTTTCTGCATGCCTGTCGGGTGGGGGGGGGGGGGGGGGGGGGGGGGGGGGGAGTAAATAAATTAAAAGGTTGAAAAGGGAAAATTAAATGGTGGCAAGGATGAAACGGAGTGACATTGCTTGGAGGGGGGGGGTCTCCGGGATTCTCACCCTAAGGTGATGCACCGGCAGGATTAGGGAGGGTCATTGAAGATCTTGGAAGCGATTAGTGACCAATGCTGAGCGATTCCTTTAAAAAGAACATTGACCACACTGTCTTCTGGAATTCCCTCTCTTTCCTTTTCCCAGGTTCATGCACCATTCTGTATCAAAAGTGTAATAACAGATCGCTACTTACTCTCGTCAAGTGCCTGAGACTGGGTAGTGCATGGCGCTATATAAAAACAAGCTGAATTGAATTGAATAAGGTTCGTCTTGTTTACTGGTCTGGAGAAAAATACTTCAATAACCAAGCGTGTAGGTGGCGCTCGTGACAGCCCCCCTTATTTATCGTCTTAATCTGAGATGTGGAAGTTAAAGTTTCTGGATTAACGGAGCAGTGATTCATCGTGATGAGGCCCTCGGGCCAACGGGTACCTGTGTACTCCTGCTGTCTGCTATCTTGCCAAGGGGGATGAGAAAGGAGGTGTGTGCGTGTGTGTGGTGTGTGTGGGGACGGGTAGCACCGCTGGGGATAGATGGCCTTTTTATGTGATCACCATCTGGCCTGTAGTGCCGTACCAATGTGGGCGTGTCCATCCTGAGCCTCTCCCCCACGCATTATATAGGAATCATGGGAAATGAAGTCTTGTCACGGTGGGGAGCTACAGTTCACTTGGCTCCCGCTTTGGCGTCCACGTGGCTGCTGCCCCACTCCCGTGCCACCCCAACTGTGACTCCCGCGATCGCGCCGCACCTCCGGTCGCAGCGGTGGGTAAGGCCTGACCACGCCAGGCACCAGGGGGGCCAGATTGGGTGGTGGATGCACAAGGCCATGGATCAAGCGGCACACGTTGAAGTGACATTACCCATAATTCATATCCCAAAGGGCTTCGAATAAAAAAATAAATAAAAGTGGAAATATGCAGTTTGATGCTTATGGTGTAAAGGAAAGCTTAATTGGTGATGAAGCCGCTTAATTTTTGATGAAACGTTACTCCACATTTCTGCAGGACATGGCTGTTCAGTCAGGCCGTGGAAAGTGTGTCATGAATGTTGCCTGCAAAGCCTCCATGGCTTGTGGGGCATCGGGAAAAAGAGGCAGTTTGATTCTGCTCTCGCAGCAGCTCTTAAAGAATAAGCTAAGATCTATCAATTCTTCTCATTAATGGTAGACATGTTTCTGTCATCTCTGAAAACGCACTTTTCAGATTTCTATTGAGGGAGTTTGTAAACGTGGTTGATTAACAGCTCTGGGTGCAGTAAGAGCCTTTAAATAACAGTGTCATCACGTTGCTTTGGTGTATGATTACATGTCTTCGTGCTGTCAAGATACTCTTTGTTGTTAATTAACAGGCGCAAAAGGAAATATTCTAATAATCAATATTCATTCAATCAGTCACTTTCCCAGCATTGCAAACACACACCACACACACATACGCACACACACACACACACACACACAAAAAGGGCAATTCAGAGACAAAATGCCACATGCCTTGGGATTGGAGGTGACATACCCAGAGAATATTCTTGCAAGCAGAGGGAGAACATAACAACTCTACCTCACCACCCCTAACAATTAATATCATTACAATAGGTCATTACAATATAACAGCATGTTTGTGATGGGGGAGAGATGACATTTACAAAGAAGCACAGACCCAGAGACACATTTTTCATCTCTTAAAATGAACTTTATTTTGTAATTTCTAGATACTCTCTATTTACAACATCTGTAGTTTAAATAAGAAAAGTATGTGCTTTTTTTTCTACTACAATTCTGGAATGAGACCAGTGGAGGGGAGGTTGGTGACATGGGGGGGTGTTGCAGCTCTGACGGGGGGGACAATGGGGGTGGGAATGATGGGCTTGGGAAAGGGCTGGAAAGGCAGGCGCTAAGAATTCTGGGTAAGGATAAAGAAAAACATCACCACTAACCAACGTAATACTTCCCTTCTTGGTTATGGGGTAGGTTAAACAGCAGGGATAGAGTTGCTAGACGAAAATGGTCTCCTGGATATAAAACTGATACTTCTATATAACATAGAAACAAATATTAAGTAGATATATTACTATATTCCAATAAATAATTGATACTTAATTCAAATAAAGTTATCAAAGTGGTATATTCCAGTAGAATCGGCATAAAGGTGTACAGCAGATCGAACGATTGGATTCGGTCAGCTAATCGGCGGAGGTGGGGGCCACGAGCTGCGTGGGGGGAGAGGCCTCGTGGGAGCAGAAAGCATGCCACGGCGGGAGGCCAGGGGGTGGGGGGGAGGTGGTGGACACGGACTCCGCAGCACGCTCACCCATCCGAAACAGTTCCTGGCTGGCCACGTTTAAAAGAGAAAATAATGAACAAACTGACACTTCTCCTGCAAGTCCCGCCAATGAGGTACTTCGTCGCGTGTTAGGAGCCCTTTGTGTGTGTGCCTGTGTGTGTGGATTAGGTTTATATTACTTTGTGGGGACCAAATGTTTTTTTTGATGTTGTGGAGATCACAATGCGAAAAAGTAAAAATGCCAAAAGTCTCTTGTTTGGTTACTTATGGTTAAGGTTAGGGCTGGGTAGGGGTTAAGGTCTCGACATGTTGTAATTAAAGTTTTCCCCATAGAAATGAATGGAGAGTCACCACAAAGATATAATTACAAACCTGTGTGCGTGTGAGTGTGTGTGTGTGTGTGCGTGTGTGTATGCCCTTGCTTCGGAAATCAAGAGCCCTTTGAGAGAACAGTCAGCTCTGTACAAAATAGTGCGGATTTTATGGCGTGCCAATATGACCCGCGCAGACCCACACAAACGCAAAAAAAGTGGACACCCAGGGAGGGGGGGGGGTGCGGGATGGGGCAGGCATTGTGCTCTCTGATTATCTGCTGAGCACCAGGCTGAATTATCCATTCCAAGGATACATAGTTTTTTAACGCCTTTAATGAATAGTGCCAGGTGTTTTCAGCCAGTCAAACTCGTTAGGAGGAAGAGATGTGGAGATGGCGGTCATGTGCCCCCCCCCCCCCGTGTGGCATTCTTCGGCTCCCACACCTCCTGCTACAGCGACAGCTTCACAGTAAAACCAGAAAGGTCATCACTCCCGCTTTTCCCTGTGGCCCAGAGAGCGTGCCGTAATGCCACAGCGCTTTCTGCTCTGCTGGCTCCCCCTGCAGGCGCCCTGTGTATGTGCTGGACGGGGGAGGCAATTTCTGCATTTCATTTCCCTGTTCTTGCACCATGTTTTCCTTTCTGGCTGGATTTTTCCATGATGTCTTTACACGCATTGACTTTGGGTGGCAGTAGACTATGGCTTCCATAGTGGCTTGTCAAGGTCAGAGAGCAACGCCCACAATCCCCAGGACGCTCGGTGTTACAGCAGCTTATTATCTTCTAGCCTGTGGCTGGGGGGGGGGGGTGTTGCCCTAGTATCTCTTCCCCCTCCCTCATGGCATTATGGGAAACCGTGGCACTAGTGTGTAAAGTGGCGAGACGGGTGAGAGAGACGAGCCTTACGAGGAAGGAAAGAGGCAGGCGTCAGGTGGAACGTTGGGTATGGCAAGTGGGGTTAGATTAAGTTGGGGCGGAGCTTAGGGGCGGGAGACGCCAACGCATTGGCCAACGCAGGTCACAGGCGCACAGTCGTGGTGGAAGGGTCTCCGCAACTCGCGGACCTTCGGGTGGACTGATATGAGGCTCGGGGTCACCCCTGAGCACGAGACTGCCTGAGTTTGGGGTAGAGTTCGCATTTCACATGACTCCGACTCAACAAACCCAACACTGGCTCTGCACCCCCATGCACAGCTACACAGGTCTCTTTCACATCTGATCTAAACTAAAGGTCAGGATCTCATTAATCCTCCACAACCTCCGGCTCGTAAACATATATCTTATTATATTATTTCATAAGGAGACACAGAAGAAAGGACCTATTCCTAACGCCAAGGCTGACGGAGTAAAAAACCAGCAAGTAAAAGAACAAACGAAAGGAAGAACTGAATATACAACAAATATAATGTATATTACTACTTCACGGAACTGGGTTACGGAGACTGGCTCTGGAGGGCCGCAACACAAGCGTACATTCCTGCTCTAATCCCTTCCCTAATTGAATTCACTGAAGCTCCTCGCTGAGCACTGAGGTTATTAGCTATTTAAAGGCGGAGGAAGGGTGTCCCTGTGCTCACCCCACCCTATGCTCCACCCACACAAGACCCCGCCTACAAAGGCTCCACCCACCCAAGACTCCACCCACCAAGACACTGTTGGAAGAATGTTCAGCCCTGCCGGTTTCACGGGTGTTTTATAGGCGGCTTTTGGCACTTTTGTGCTTGTGCTTCTCGAGCCCCCCCCCCCCCCCCCCCCCCCCCCCCCCCCCCCCTGCCCACCCCCCCTCACACGGGGGTGGTCCGGCGGTTTTCTCGCTGCAGGGTGTCCTGGTAGTCCTTCTGGCCTGTGCTGTGGGCCTGCAGGAACTCCCTGTCCGCGTCGGCCTTGCCGGGTTCCCGGGGCAGCGTGTACATGGAGATGTCGGCGTCGGCCGGCCCGGCGTAGCCCCGTGTGGGGGAGGCATCGCGGGAGCCGGCCTCCGCCGAGCGGCAGCTGGACCGGCGGCGGAAGCGGCGTCGGTGGCGACCCCCCGACTGCCCGGAGGGAGGCTTCTTTAGAAGCTCGGCGCGCGACTGAGCACGCAGCTGCCGGTGCCGCTCAATGAACATGTGCACGGCCAGCACGCCCACGGTCTCAGCCACGATGAAGGACAGCGCGCCGAAGTAAAAGCTCCAACCGTAGGAGTAGGTCTTCTTCGAGTCGCTCTGGCTGGGGTCCCCCGAGTTGGCCGAAATGTACACGATGATCCCGATGATGTTGCTGAGCCCTGAACGCCAGCAGGGGGGGGAGGGGGAGAGACGGGAGTCATGGCAGGCGGTCGCATGGTGTCATTGCCCAAAAAATACACAGGACACCAGTGCATGTGTCTCGTCGCATCGCAGCGGTGTGCCGCTGATGTTATAAACGATCCTACGGGAACAAATCTCAAGAGCGTATGGCTCAAATTACCGTTTATCACGCAGCACATCCATCATGCAGAGTGAGAACATTTTAATTTCGCCAGATCCCCTTGTTTTTTCCTGTCGCATGAATTACTGCAGCCCATTATACATACGCATGCTGCACTCATGCACTCGCAGGATACCCCAGCCTTTCTCTGGGGGGGCAGGGTGCAACCTTTCAGCGCAAATGGCCCATCCCATTGCCATGGTGGGACACGCCTTATACTGTAGCAATGGATATAGCGATGGGGGGGGTGATAGGTGATAGGCTTTATGGAG